CTATGAAGAGACAAGCAAAAGGACCCGTGTTAAAAACATTCAGGTGATTCTGTAATATTACAGTTCATAATCAATGGAATGAATTGAAATCAACCACTCTTACTTTGCCTCGTCCATATTAACATCCACAAATTTGCAGATCTTTAGATCTCTCTCTAGAATGCTCTTTTTTAGACCCTGAATCTCTTCCTCAGCTTTCTTTTTTTCAGCTTCTTGGTCTCCTGCAGAGTAACATGCGAGATGAAACATTGACAATGAGCATTGTATTATCCACACACCTTCTGACACTGCAGTTCTTTCGATCTAATAAACCCCAGAAATAAGAGTAACTCAATTCACCCTTTAGTTTGTTAAGTGCTTCTTTTGCTTCATTGCTCTTCTTCTCTAATGCACCCTGAAACAGAGAGAAAGACTGTGTGAGAGCACGTAAAAGCTTATGGTTTATGGTCAGACAAAACAGGAACACAGGGCTCAGTTAAACAGAAGAACAGACCTGTCGACAAACTTGATTTGCATAAATGTTGTAAAACATCCACGCAATCATGTAAAACAATACTGTAAGGAATCCGAAAACATCAGCACATTCAAGAGACTCATAATTTAGGAACCATTCAAATTAAAGCAAATATACACGCCTAAGAGACAACTATGTTCAGGTTCTTCCTTTGAAAGGAGTATCTTATGCTCACCATGGCTGCATTTATTTGTCAAAAAATACAGTAAAACATTAATATTGCAGACTGATCTCATGAAGTAGCGTGTGTATGACACACCAATTCGTATTTCCATTTTTGGCGTGCTATCAAGACGCATAATCGCTTTTCAGCGTGTTTATGAACGCCGTTGACTTAACGTTATATAAATATATGACTTACCTCAACCCCGTCCCTAAACCTAACCGTCACTGGGGTTAATGGCATTTATGACTGTTCCCTTACTATCCTAGGTAAAAAAAAAAGATATGACTTACCTCAACCCCATCCCTAAACTTAACCGTCACTGGGGTTAATGGCATTTATGACTGGGGATTTGACTGCGTGTTCGGACACGCGGAATGACGCGGACGTTAATGGCGTAGACATATACGCATACACGCGGATACACGCGGATAGCACAAAATGCGTAGAGATAACACGCCACCTGACTCGAAAGTGGCGTATATGTTTACGCAAAAGTCATGATGTCATGTTGAATATTGTGAAATATCAATGCAATTTTAAATTATTGTAGAAGTAATGTATTTAATTCAGAAATGGCAAGCAGTCTATTGGTTCTTTGGCTTTACTTATCTTGAAAAGTTGCGAAACTGGAAATATAGTTTTCATTCATCACGTGCAAAGTATGAATAAACAGTGAGTTCCAACTGAATTGAATGTTTACAAACTTAAAGGGATACTCCACTTTTTTGGAAATAGGCTCATTTTACCACTCCCCCAGAGTTAAACAGTTGGGTTTTGCCATTTTCGAATGCACGTTTTTTTTTTCAGACTCAAACTGAGCGTGACGACAGTCTGACAGTTGTAAATCTTCTAGTAGCTGTGCCAACACAAATCTGAATCACCTAATTCCTCAAAAACGTTGAAATTTTTGTCGCGTTGCTTTTATGGACTCTCTAACTATGGGCTTCTACCTTAACTTTATGCCTCCATGTCCCCCCGATTGCCTCATAGAAAGTAAAAGATTGCCCGCGAGCTTCTCCTTCTGTCTATACGGTAATGTCTCTATTGTGCGACAGAAAGTCCCGTGGTTATGACGCAATCAATAGCCTATTTTTACAAAAACGGCTTCTACGGGGCCGTAACGTAAGATACAAAGAAATGCAGCATTTTAATTCATTGTCGTGTTTCTTTAGAAATAAATAATGGACAAATTAAGTCTTTGGATGCCTCAGATGTAAAGCTATTCGCCAAAATGAATGGGAGTCAATGGGATGCTAACAGCAAGTGAAGTTCTGCTACAATGTTTGTTAGGCTTCTGATTGGCCAACGTGGCTTTCTGGTTAGGGTTATATCGCCGCCTGCTGGTGTGGCATGGTCTTGACAGCACTTGATAGCGTGTCTTTGCGTTTTCATGAAGATGGGAGATTTTTTTTTTAAGCCGAGCATGTGTGGATGGGATTTTTTATTTTTAAACCCAGGAGGAAAAACTCTGGTTAAAAATATACCCGTGTCCATGTGGACAAGGCCTTAATACCAGTAGGCATTTACTTATCTCACTTGCACAAAAACAGATAAATGCAAACTTATTAAGAATATTATGCAAACCTGCAATAATTAGCTATCCTAAATTACACAAATATACTATACAAATGACAGCACAACTGAAAGGTGTGTTTGAGCTGTGCCCTTCACTGTACAAGTGTGAATTTACATTTTAGCCTGAGGCTTATATTCATTTCACTTTTGGTGAGAATTATATTAAAAAACAAGCAAGCAATCCTAGACCAGGTGGGGAAAAGTAACACGTTAAGCATTTGTTGAGTAAGAAAGTTACTTTTTTTAGGGAGTAACGTATAATCCAAAACTTTTCAAAGTAACTTTCCCCGAACACTGACTTGTATTCAGCGAGGACGCATAAAATTGACCAAAAGTGACACTAAAGGCATATATCATGTTACAAACGGTTTTAGTTTCAAATGAGTGCTGTTCTTTTGAACTTTCTATTCATCAAAGAATCCTGAAAAAAAGTATCACGGTTTACAAAAACATTACAAGCAGGACAACAGTTTTCAACATTGAGAATACTACGAAATATTTCTTGAGCTACAAATCATGTTAGAATGATTTCTGAAAGATCATGTTACACTAAAGACTGTAGTAACAATGCTGAAAATTCAGCTTTACATCACTGGAATAAATGACATTTTAAAACATTAAAATAGAAAACAGGTATTTTTAAAATTGCAATAACATTTCAGAACATTAGTCTGCGTTTCCTGTTCTTCTTGATCAAATAAATGCAACCTTACCCACCCCCAACTATTAAATCGTATTGTGTATAGCATTCCACGCCCCAGGATGTCATCGTCTCAAAAGGATTTAATGTCACCTAACCACATATCAGACAAAAGAGCAATAAGGAGTTGTTGCATGCAAAGGCAGAGAGAACTGATTTGCTGATTGAGAAATGATTTACTCCAAATTTGTGATTGATCTAAAGTGAATCAATCAAATCAATGTAAAGCTCAACTGCTTCATTATTATTGAGAATACCTTGTCAGTCTTGCAGGTGCCGAGTTCCTTTTCAGACGCAGTGCTGGTTTTCTTTAAGTCATCCCTCTGTTTTTTGAGCTGATCCCTCTGTGTTGTCAGAGCACTAAGGTTTTTAGTGATCTCGTCCACTTTCGTCTTGGCTGACATGATTCCATCCTCCTTAAACTTCACTTGTTCACCGGAAACAACGATGCGTGTTTGCAGGTTGCGGATGTTGAGCTCCTGCTGTATGGCCTGGTAGGTTATAATCAGGAGGGCACATAAGGCCAGGAAAACCATTACCGACATGCCTCTCATCCTGAGGAAATAAGGGTAGGAAGAGAGAGGAAGAGAAGACCAAGTGAGTTCCCTAGGGGACCGTTGATTTTGTTTTCTCTCTCTTTCTCTCTCTGTAGACACAGTCACTTGGTCCTCATGGCAGCAGCACCTACGCCGTCGAACGAAAATGACACAACTACCTGTCTTGTCTTCCGGAAAAGTTCAATCTGAGCCGTAGACAGGTGGCCTGTCATACCTGTCCAACTGGATGTCCGGGTTTAAGTAAATAAATGTGTTCGTGTGTGTGTGGGCGTGAAAGAGAGAGAGAGAGAGAGAAAACCATAACACTTCCTGGATACTGTTGCTGTGATCCCAGACCAACTTTTCCATATTCTCAATCTCCACCCACCTTCGTGTCATCAAAGAAAAATAGGAAAACAATACAGCATCAACTCTCAGGAATTTTGTTTTCATCAAATAATATATATGTTTGTACTATTATATATATATATAGAGAGAGAGAGAGAGAGAGAGAGAGAGAGAGAGAGAGAGAGAGAGAGAGAGAGAGAGAGAGAGAGAGAGAGAGAGACTACACACACACACACACACACACGCACACACACACAGGCAGGCATATAGCTACAGCCCGCCCTTATCTCACACTTCAACCCAACAGAGGTGTGGCATTATAAAACACAGCAAATTTGGTAAATCATTACATAACAGGGTGAACCGGGATAGTCTCATTTGCGTGACTTAACCAACATGTCAAACTGTCCCCATGCTCTGTGTCTCGAAACCCCTTTCCCCCCAGCGAGGTTTAATAGGTGCTCACCTGGTTCGTTGAGATACCAATACTCTGTGAAGGTTTGGCTCGACTGAAGTAAAAACTATTTTGTCCATCATTGAGTGGCACGTTTCAGGCAATATTAAATAGAAATTCTTCGATGTGTGACAATACTTGTTTATTTCATAAACGACTAGGACGTGCGACGTTGTTGTAGGCTACTTGTACCAGAACCCGTCGGAACAAGAATCCTTGCGTCCACGACTCGCTGAACCGACTCTTTGAACGGAGAATCATTTCTGTTGGACACGAATATGTCCATTTTTTCTTTTTTTTCTCGAACATGTATAGGGAACAAACAAGAAAACAATAAAAAAATAATGACAAAACAAAAAAACATAAATTCATAATAAGCTGCGAACTGTTGAGCCAGTGAGTGAACAGAGGACTCTGAAGTTAGGCCTACTTAGCAGAATGTTAAATAAACTTATTGGAAATGATACGACTTAAATTAGAGATTTATACACATATAGGTCCAGTGAAAACCTTTAGTTTTTTATACATTGGTCAGTTGGAGATTTGAGGTTTTCTTCTGTCGGATGGAAGCAAAACTTTCAAAATACACAGGCCATTTTCTCAATGAGCCTGAAATCACACATGTCTTCTGTGGCCATAGGCTATTAAGTGCTGAATCAGTTTAACCGGTCCTGTTCGAAAGAATCGAATCGTGGAGATGAGTCGGACTTTCCATCAAGCGTAACGTCCTACGTCTTATTTGCTCGACATCTCACAACACCAATGCGTTCTGGGGGTGGGCGTGGTTTTAAACAGGTGGGCTGTGTTACCTGTATCGTCGTCTCCATTCCTTTCAAGCACCGCTCAGATACCGAGCGTTAAAATAAAACGTCTAACCAGGAAGGAGGCTATTCGAGGATTTATTTATTTTTCACCTGCATATTTTATTATCTATCTCGGTTAATATCACCGAGAATACACAGCGTCAGCTCCTCAAAATAATGAAACAGCCGTCGTGTTCTGAGAGGTGTTAGTATCTGCGACAGGTAACTCTGATTCTCTGTACACCTGCACCTGCACGCGAGAGACCGAATCTGAAACAGGTCCAGCTTCCTCTTGAGTCCTCCATCATGAAGTTTCCAGCATTCCTGTTGGGTTTTGTCTTGGTTTGCTGTCTGGGCATCGCTGGATACATCCATACCAGACGGAAGCGGGAACTGCATCTGAATAAACAGGCTTCATTTCTAGATATTAAATTCAGAGTGACCAGGGATGTTCTGGGGGAATACGAAGATCAGTTGAATATGTCCAACGCAGAAATTGAAAAGATTAAGAAAGAGGTGGATGCTCTAACCAAAGACGTGTCCCAAGTTAAGACCTTAGTGGCTCAGAAAAAGAGTGACGTTGATAACTGTAAAGGGGACAAGGTGAGTTGAATATGGAGGGATTTTTTTATGTTACATTTTTATATGCGCTCAACAATATCTTTCTTAGACCTTCTTCAAATGCTTCATAACTGCCTGTGTGATACAGTGTCTCAAATGTAGTTTATTATAACATCTTTAATTTGTTATTCTCCAGAAACGACTCACAGATGAAATTGCTGCTTCAGAGTCAGAGAAGAAACAAATCCTGGGTGAGTTTATTTTCAGTTTAAAAAAAAAACCGCAGGCTATGGAAATGTCGTTAATGTTGACCAAAAGTAGTGTAGAGTAGAGTATGTTCACCTCGCATTATAGTTAACAAAATTTGTCATTTATTGTTAATCCATTGATTATACTCAATACTGCCCCCCGGCGGCAACAAAGGTACGTCTGGATAAATGCCAGCTAAATAAACAATGATGGATTTTGTCTTTGAGTATTGAAATTGTGCGATTGATTTAGTTGTGTTAAGGATGTTGACAATAGCCTACATAATTGTTCATTTTGTCATTGTTTGTATTGCTTGGACCTGCTATTGAAAATATCCGCTCAGACATTTTTCCGTTTTCTGTTCCTAGGTGAGTTTGCCGCGGCGAAGTCTCATTGGGAATCGGAGGATGCTTCTCTAAAAAAACAACTGGAGCAGGAGAGCGCACTCTGCAAGTACATCGACAAGACCTCTGAGGAGGGAAGGTGAGTGGATTTGGACGACAGAATCATTTGTTATGAATCTCATCAGAAAACATGAAGTTAGTTGTGGTTAAATATGTGCAGAACTTGTTTGGCCATTGACAGCCATTGTGTACTCTGTTCAGAATGTACATATTAACCTGAAGGCTTTGAGGATTACATTGTTACATATTTAAACTTAAAATTGAAAGATTCTTCTTTTTAATGTAATTTGAATAGAAAATCGATAAAAAGCATTCCATTAATGTTGCTTAACGATACTGCTTTACTTCTCTAAGGAAACTGTGTAACATAATTGAAGAGCCAAAAAAGCCTGATGTAAAGGAACCAGCAGCAGAACCGGCAGCAGTCAAACCCGTGCCTGAGGAAAAAAAGGTTGAAATGCCAGAAGCTGAACAGCCAAAAGTAAAGGTGGAGTGAAGGAAAACCAAGTGGACTGAGTACGTGTGTGTGTTAAGGAGACGGTAAACAATACTATGTCAGTATCCGCTGGAGAATTGAATAGGTAGATTAGCTAAAGCTGAACATCTTGCTCGGGTTGATCTCCAATATTCCATTAGGACCCCTCAAATGACAGACACTTTCTCAACCATGTGCACTACAAACCTGCATTTGAAGTTTGACTGAGACCAAAATGCGTTCTATCATATTCCTGGTCTGTTTTGGTTTATAAAAAATATGGGATGAGACAGACAATTTCAGCTGCATATCTGCTATATATAAATTAATTTTGTTTTCCACTTCATACACAATTAAATTGTGACATTTTCTTTGATAATTTTTTTTCCTTTCTTTTTTTATGCAGTCAGGTTTCCTTTGCTTTCTTGGGTTTGTTTGTCCTTTTAATATTTCTTTATTTCTTCTTTATTTTTTGCCCCTGTTACAATGTCATTATGACCCTCCCTCGGGCTCATGCATACATGCCCGCTTGTATCGACCAATGGGAAAGCTCTGACCCTCTTACTGTCACTCCTAATTATCCTCACCCTGTTACCCCAGTTACTATTGTTATATAGTCCTCACTACATTGAGCTTAACCCAGCAGAGCCTTCAGTGGAGCAGTTATGAAGTTCAAATGGTTGCTCTTCAGTGTCATTTGTTATAAGTTTTGGGTTTTATTCTGAAATACTGTGATGCTTAATGTGAAAATAAAGGCAGAGTTTGGTTAGACACTCCCTTTTATGTATTCTTCCAGTAAATGGATGGTTACTGCAATTTAAAATGTTTGCCTAGCCATTATAGTCTAATCCCAAACAGTGTCTTGACAGCTGAATGTCGCTCTAGGTTGTTTAACCAGTTTGATGGGAATGTAAAAGTAATGCCACAATTGGTTTTTCAAGTGACATCCAGTCTTAGACAAAACACGACAGACATTTTAATATACAGCACCACCTTCTGACAAATATTTGGCAGTATTTATGAGGTTGTGTTAAACAGAGCTGGAATATTCCGGGTTCAATAGAAGTTAAGCTCAATAAAGAGCATATATGGCATATACAAACTTTTTTTTAGATTAATTTATCAGCTTATTAATGTATAAATTCACTTGCATAATGTTTTTTAAAAGATTAGTTCACTCACTCATTATTTACTATCCCTCATTTGATCATCCCTCATGTTGAGTGTTTTAAATGTCTTCATGTTTTTATCTAAACGATGGAAGTCATGAAGTCAATGGTAACTTGCGGAGAGGTTGTTGGGAGAACAGCAGAAGAACAGCAAACCAAGTGTGTGAATAACGGTTGGTACTCTGCCTTTATAAAGTCAATTCCACTGACTTTTTGTTCTTTGGGAGTGATGATATTACTGCGCCGAGTCAAAGTGCTCCCAAGCCCTTGCTGTGGTATTCCGCCATACAATATAGTTATCCACTTTACACTCTTACAAAAAGCGCAACGTTTTATTTTGTGTCACCTTTCTTGGTCGAGTTACTCTACTTGTGTAAATTTAAATAGGGAAAACGTGGAGGTGTTTGGTCGCTTCTCTGCTTGGCCCATATTGAATGAACTGGGCTAGTTAAGCGCTATCAAAGTGTCTCGAACGCACTGAGACGACAGAGGTATGCATCAACTCGTCTTAGTTAAGGGAATAAAATGCATGGTAGATCACATTTCCACTCCACCCCAAATTACACAGGTGAGTGAAGTTGAAGGTCACATGAAAATGTGTTCATGCTCTGCATCAGTGGATAAACAATGGGAGACTGTGAGAATGGATGCTTCTCTGACTGGGTTTGGGGTGACAGTCTATCTGTCTTTCAGACATTTGATTCAATTCCACAGGAGAAGCAAGAGACTTCTGTTTTGGGCCTACCCAAAACTGACCTCACGCAGTTTACATACCCGGAGTAGTAAACCAGGCAGCCAATCTCTTCTCCCGAACATAAGCGAATAGGAATCAAATTCGCTATATAGGAATAGCGATTACACCCAATGGTGCGTCTCTGATGTGGTCCCGGTTTGGAATAGCCCATACCGACCCGTTTGCATCAGCCGAGCCCGAGACAACCCATTGCAAGATGTATTTTTCTCTGAGCGGTCAAGGTGAGATAGTCCTCACTGCAGAACACGAAATCCACGTGGAGGAGTCGGATCCAGATCCAACTCCTCCCACCTTACATATACCTAAACCTAACCAGCTCCACCCCCTGATCCCTAAACCTACCCGACTCCGCCCCCTGGATCTTGTGTACCGCAATGAGGTGCTGCCAAGGTGGACCTTTGGAAATGGATGTACTGTCTCATGAGAGGCCAGGACGATTGTTATACGCTTTGTTGGGACATTGCATGATCTTACTGATCGCCCCGAAGTGGCCTAGTAAACATTGATTCTCACTTCTCCAACGTCTGGTTCTAGACCTTCCATGGCTGCTACCAATCAAAGCAGACCTTCTCTCTCAAGTGGAGTGTCAGATCTGAGTTAAAGAAGGCAGTAGTGAAAACAATAAACCATGCTAAAACACCTTCCACTTGGGATAATTACTGAAACAGATGGAGGGGCTTCTCTAAAGCCCCTTTTCCACCAATGCATTTTGAGAGCCGGTTCGGAGCCGGTGCCTGCGCGCGAACCAGTTCTTTGTGTTTCGACAGCCAAAGAACCGGTTCGCGGCCGGGAGAACTGGTTCCAAAGCGGCACCAACTCTTTGCTGGACTAAAACCTTTCTTTTAGCACGTCATGCTTTGGCGGGTTTAGATGCGTTCTAAACATCTTTTCTGACCTTAATAAAGGACCGCAAAGTCAGGAGAAACATTTGCAGAAACACAATGGAGTCCGCCTTTGTTGTTAAGCTTGAAGTTGGCGCAAGCGTTTTTATTTTTTTATATTTTTATTTGAAACATAAGCAAAGAAGAAAACAGTCATGATATAGAACAAATAAATGGAAGAAAAAAAGACACAAGACAGGGGTACATAACTTATCAGAAAAGATTACATATCAAACGAAAAGATTAAAAGACTTACATATTTCAATTGTTTTTAAAGCCTTCTTGGTACACGAGTTAGAGATAATCACAAAGTAATGTACTTGCAAGCGTTTCTAGCGACGTGCACAGTGACGTAACGATGTCGTTCCCTGGGCGCTCTAGTCAGTGGAAAAACAAACAGGTTCTGAACGGGTTCGCAAGTTGAACCAACTCCGAACCAACTTTGAACCAGCACCAGTTCCGAACCAGTTCTTTTTTCGGTGGAAATTAAAGGGGTACTTGTCACCTATGGCAGCTCTAATGCAATTTATCCTGATTTAACCCTTTGGTGGGGTTTTGTTAAAAGGTTCCATTCACTCCGAACCAACTTTGAACCAGCGCCAGTTCTGAACCAGTTCTTTTTGGGTGGAAAAGGGGTATAATTGGTGTCAGGACAGAAACCTGGACCCCATTTATTGCGGTCTTGATTCTATTCTATGCTTTCTTCAGTCACTTTTAGATTCAGGGAAACAAGTCAACACAGTGAAAGTTTATGTTGCTGCTATTTCTCATTTCCACAGTATTGTGGAAGGCTTATCAATTGGTAAACATGTTGGTGTCTCAGTTTCTTAAAGGAGCACGCCGCCTCTATCCTGAAAAAAGTTAAGATCACCACCATGGGATATTCCCATGGCTCTAAAGTCAATGGCTAGATCCCCGTTTGAACCACTGGCCCAGGCAGATCTTAAATCACTAACGTGGAAAACAGTTTTCCTTCTTGCTGTTCAGCAAAAAGAATGATCACAATACATTCTTTAACAGTCAGTGAGGACTGTCTGAGGTGGAAAGCAGATTATTCAGGGGTCTCTCTTTGGCTGAACACGGCTTTCTTGCCTATAGGTTCTTAATCCTCGCATGAACAAGTGATTCTCTTTTAAGTAATTTTTTTTAAACTCTTTTAAGCAGGGCTTGATATCTCTACCTTGTCCCAAGTTCACTTCACACTTACATTGAGTCACAGTCACACACTTACAGTAGCTGTTTGTGTGTTTTGATAAGAACATGACGTTGGATAGAAGACCATATTGCACAAGTGTATCCAGCCAGAGTTTACCAGGGAAGTTGGTGGCTCATTCTAAGTGTCTGGCCACTCGGCACTGAAGAGGAAGTGGTACCTACGGACATATGCAGCGGCCTCATTGAGCTCATCTTGTACCATTGGCAAGTATTACAGGGTCAATTCGGGAGTATAAAGAACTATTCAGTACACCCGGATGTTATAAAGGGAACCAATGACTTAAGGTCAGTCATTTGAGTTAGTTTACATTAGTTCACAGAAGAAAAATGGATAAAGGTTTGGAGCAATGAGGGTGAGTTAATTTCTGGTTAAATTATCCTTTACATTGTAATTTTCACAGCCGTTATAGGGTTTATGTTTACGTTAAATTATGTAACAGTTGCACCAAAGTAAAATTGTATTTAACTTGACAGAAAAAAAGGTTATACTTTATTTTACAGTATACTTACAGTGTACTTACCCAAGAAAGTATTGTTTATAATAAGGTAAATAAATGGGTTAAGGTTAGGTTTAGGGGTAGGTTCAGGGTTAGTACCTGCAGTTATTGTAATTGCTAATAAGTATAATACGTATGTATAGCCTACATGCGGAACAGGACTGAAAAATAAAGTGCTACTGAAAAAAGTTAGTATTATAGATCAAGTTGTATATCTCTTGTTGCTATACTATTGAAACTATTGAAATTTTTACCAATTGGCCCCATTCACTTCAATTGTAAATGCATCATAAGATTTATTTAAAAAAAAAAAGAAGAGGAGGGACAAGAAGAAATTAAGTCAATATGGAATAGTCTAACAAAGCTATTTTATGAACTTTTTATTTTCAGTTGATAGGTTTTGAAATATTAAAAGTAATGAGTAAGCCTTCCTCTTTTTTCTTGGGTCTCTTTGGTAAATCACAGAACTGACCACATGTGAACTTAATTGGCTTAGTATCTGCTCCCGTTGAGCGTTTACCTCCCATCCACTCTCTTTTTTTTGTTTCTCTTTCTCTCTCCTCGTTTTCTTTTTTTTTTTTTGTTACCCCGCAGGCTCACAATTAGGGGAAGCAATTAGTGTCTCTCTTCCGCCCCATCTCGTTCAGAAGGTCATTGTGTACAGCGGGACTCGGAGGGAGGGGTAGAAAGCTGACATCTGCTTCATCTCGGATTCTCTGATGAAATAGAGATAATAAATATATTATTTTGGGTTTGTCTTATGTAACCTTTTAATGTGTGTAATGCAAATTTAAGCATGTAGAAAACTTCTCCTTCAGGAAAATGATATGCTTCCAGGTAGATGTCAGTCAGACATAGGCCTATTAATCAAACAAAGTAGAGCAGATAGTAACTGTTTTGTTTTTTAATTGATAAAGGTATTTTTGTTCCTGAATGTTACATACCAGACAAGATATATGACATGGAATAACAAAAAAGATATGATAAGAAATATTTGGTAAAATGCTAAATGCATTAACCGCAAAAGCTTCTAGTAGAGATTGTACTGTGCCTATAATACAAATAATACAATATAGTATACGATAGAGATTATCAACAAAGGAGGGAAAATCTATCACTTATATTTGTATAACTTCACCTAAACTTTAGGTGATTTTAAAATTGAAAATGAAAAAGATTATATTTAAAATTTAATTTTTTCCAAGATATAACCCAGTATGTATGAAAAAGTGTACAGAAACGAATCATATATCCGCTCAACGAAAGAATCCGAACATTGGTTTACAAATCAATAAAAATATATAATCTCAGAATTAGTCTAAATGCAAATTAATGGTAAAATGTCATTCCAACTGCCATCTCTTTATCAAACACATGGTACCAACAGAACCATTTATTCGTGGCTTTTTATTTATTAGACTTGTGTTCAGAAAGACTTTGCATCAGCTGATCATGAGAACTGAACAGAAGGACTCTTGAGGTTTGTAGTGAGCAGTGAACTCCATTGGGCCATGACCTTCAGCCACAATGCAAATGGATGTCACATTATAGAGTGGAAAGGACAATGTTGAAGATCATGTCAACAGTGGCTTGGGTGACCATTGAATTGAGCTTTTATAGATATTTTGGGGATATTCAATTAGTCAAACACAACTATATATTTATATATTTATATAAATATATAAATATAAATATATTATATAAATATATTATATTATATAAATAATAATAATATATATATATATATATATATATATATATATATTATTATTATTATTATTATATATATATTATTATAATAGTATATATTTATATATAATATATTATATTATTATTAATATTAATAATATAATAATTTATATTATTATTAATAATAATAATATTATAATAATAATATTATTATATTATATAAATAACAAATTTATATATATTTATATATAAATATATTTATATTATATATACAGTATATATATATATACATATATATATATTATATTTATATATAAATATAAATATATTTATTTGTCTATCAGGAAACTAAACACCTCTTGTTTCCCTGCATTTCTATGTGACAAGAGTGCACAAACAAAAAGTATCACTACATTAGCAATTTACTGTTTAATTACAGGTAACAAGGATACCTTAAAATAAACGTAACCTTTAAAAAGAGGGAATCAACCGCACAGCTGATTTGGCACATTTTATGCCGGATTTTATCCTAACGTTATTATATAAATGAACATATTAAATGTAAATGTAAAAAGTGCTCGGTTTAGAGAGATCATTAGCTCAGTACATAAAATAGAATAAGCAGCAACTCATAGGTTTGAAAGAACTTGAGGGTGAGTAAATGATGACAGAAGTTTCGTTTTGGGTGAACAATCCCTTTAATACTATTAAATTCTTACAACATACTACAAATAAAAACACAATAACTTTTACTCATATAGCATTTAGTCATATAAGTTAGGCTAGACATGCATGTCAGGTTTCAAATGTCAATAAGTGAAACTCACATATAAGACAAAACATGTGACAAACAGGGCGTCATATAGTGACAATGTGTATACATCCAACGCACATGCACCCTCGTCAATATAACACACTTCAGTAATGGGTATGTTTAGGTCTGGGGTAGGGTTAGGGTTAGACCACTAGGAGGCGCCTTCTGGCCCATAATATATATATATATATATATATATATATATGCGTCTCATATTGACGTTAAAGGGTGCCATGTGCATTGGATGTATAAGCGTCAGTATATGACACCTTGGGATGAGAACGGGCTCGATTAACACTGATGTTGAACCTAACCCTGCCTAAATAACCATATAAGCCTAAACTTGACATAAACTGTAAACTTGTCCTTCAAATCTGATTGGTTGATTAGAATGTTTTTCCAGGATCAACACAGATATTGACCCAGGCACATGTTGCACTTGGTGAAATCAGCTTCAGCTTGTTCCAAGCCGGTTGGGATAGTGTAAAAGGATTACAGTAACCTGTGGATTTGTGTTCTCAGTGTTTCTTATGCATCTCGGAATTGAGATTTGCTTTGAGGTTCAATTTTTGCTTTCACAGAATTTCATTCTGTAATTCGAGAAGTATAAAATCTGTCCGTTTTATATGGACATTTACATTCGATACATTTGATTACCTTTACTATATAGGCTACTACTACTATAGGTTTCTACAAAAATCCACCATTCAATGCATTGGGACTTTTTAAAGTCTCTTCTGCTCACCAAGGCTGCATTTATTTGATCAAAAATACAGTATAGAAACAGTGAAATATTATTATTACATTTGATTATATTATATATTACAAAGTATATTAATTATTGATGGTAAAGCTGAATTTTCAGCATCATTGCTCCAGTCTTCAGGTTCACATGATCCTTCAGAAATGCTAGTTCAAGAAACATGTCCGATTATTATGTTGAAAACAGTTATGCTGCTTCACATTTTTTTTTTTTGGGGGGCGGAAAACATGATACATTTTTCAGGACTATTTGATAAATGGAAAGTTCAAAAGAACAGTGTTTATTTGAAAGAGAAATCTGTCAGGAATTAAACTTTGAACATTGTCATGGGTTGTCGGATTGACCTTCTGTTGCCCTCTATGTGAGTGAACGTGTGAAATCACATGTATTGATCAGCCTAATGCAAGAGGAAGAGCCTGCGGCAAGGTGATCAATGTGCTCTTCATTAACCCCTGTGAGTGAGTGAGTGAGTGTGTGTGTGTGTGTGTGTGAGTGTGTCTGGGGTTTAGGAAGGGTGCTAAACTTTGGACAGGGGTGTATAAATACACCCATCCCAGCTGAAACTTGTGACATTCATGCACATCATCTCGCTTACAAACAGCACTAGGCTAACACACACATAGCTAAGCTGACAGTAGATACCAACACACACTCCATATGATAACAGAACACGCTTTCAAGCAAAATTGACCTAAAATGACAACATCTGAATGATTTCGTGGATGGAGCTTCAAAACAGTGAGTATATTGTGTGAGTCTGTGTGTGCTAATGCTAATCTTTGTGAGTGTTACATCAACAACCTTATTGTTTATTCTTTTTAGAACCTTGCTAAATTATTTAAAATAGGCTATACACATAAATTACCTATATTTGTAAGTTGGTAACTAGATTTCACAGTGTCCTTTGTTACATGTTGTGTATAGAAAACTACATTACTTTACTGTTTAATTACAGGTAACAGGTTCCCTTTAGAAAAAGGGTATCAACCGCACAGCTGATTTGGCACATTTTATCCTGGATGCCCTTCCTTAAGATATTATATAAATGAAAGATAATATTTAAATGTAAAAAGTGCTAGGTTTACAGAGATCATTATCTCAGTACATAAAAAAAGAATAAGCAGTTAGTGTTGTCCTTTATTTCTTTTCCATCTAGTCTCATGTTTTGTAACTTAATTGCTGTTTCAAAGCTTCTCTGTTCTCTTTCAGACGCTGTCGAAGTTGATGGAGGTTCTGAGAAGTCAGGGACTGTGTGATATGTTTGATATTCGGTTGCTTTCCTTATATCATGTCAACTAAATATCAGACATATTCCTACAGACTCTGGCACAAATCTTCACCTTCGTGGCCTCTCTTCATTCATCATCTCGGGTTCATCAAATGTTTCGTTTTGATCACTTTCTTGATTGTTTCTTGCGCATGATTTCTAGCGTATGAGCTATAAAATCTTATATAATGCAATAAGACTCATTTAGTGAAGACTACACTTTTTCATTTCTTAAATATTTGTTTTTAGTACATCTTATAAAGTTATAACTGCATGTCAACTGTATTCCTGAGCAATTAAGCCAAAATGTAAAAATAAAGGATCCAAATGAGGGGTTTCAGCGATGCTATAAAAATTACCATTTTGGGTTTCCCGTACAAATTTTCTTTTCTTTTTTTTTTTTTTAAAGAACCATTTTTTATTTTTTTGTAGACAATTTAATAAACCAAAGACCCATTTGTGGAATAAAAAAAATATTGTTGGTTTAACTTGGTTGCCTTCAAATTTTTAGTTGATTGAACTGGAAAAAGTGAGTAAATACAATGACGGATATTGATTTAATCATCAGAAACTCAAAATAATAAGTTATCTCATCTAAATAAATTATTTAAGTTGATTTGACAAAAGAAAAAATGTTAACAAATCTTGAAAAAAAATTTTTTTACAAGCCAAGAACCTGTCATTTTAACCCTCTGGTGCTGTTTGGTCATTTTTGAGCGTCAAATTTTACGTTTTGAATTTTTTTTACTTCATCGGAATGATACGAAAGATGGTAAAGGTTTTGGCACCTGCTGGTTAAATGGTCCTGAAAAAAATCAGTCACATATATTGTTTGGTGTCAAAAATGACAGTGTTGGAAATGAATGGGAGAATGCATTGGAGATGAATGTCACCTACTGGAAATGTTTGGTACTGTGCACATTTTTTATTTTTTTATTTTTTTTAGATATCAACCTCACATTTGAAACACTTGTTTAGACTTATGGCTTCAATTTCTCACAGTTTTAGAGTCAAACGTGTTTTGGAAAATATATATATCATACACATTTAAAAATTTTGTTTTTTGTGCCTTTTTCATAACAATAAATGTCAAATTTTATAACTTTTTTTCAAGTTCAAGTTTTTAAAATCTTTTCACTTCAGCAATAATCTGCCAAGTGTCGTCTTTAAAACTAACCAAACTTTCAAAGCATTCGAGATTTATGACAGTTTAAGATGGAAATTTCAGTTTCAGTGAATAAATAAATTATAGCTACATAAATATAATTTAGTACCATACCATCCTCTAAAAATAGAACATATTGCCGCATATTTTTAAGAATGTGGGTAACATTAAATGTTACTATTATGCATTAAATACTAAGGAAGTCAATGGGGTCCATCAACACTCTGGTAACCCACATTCTTCAAAATATCAACTTTTGTGTTCAGCCGAAGAAAAAAACTCGGTTCCACTTTATTTCGGTAGTCCACTTTAGACATTCTACTAACTCTAGCTAACTTTGCAACTACAACTCTCATTATTCTTTTATGACTCTCTGTGGTCATAAAAAATCCCAGGATGTCTTTCGAAAGAGTAGGGGTGTAACCCCGGCATCCTGGCCAAATTTGCCCAGTGGCCTCTGTCCATCATAGCCTCCTAATCATCCCCATATACACCAATTGGCTTCATCACTGTCTCCTCTCCACCAGTAAGCTGGTGTGTGGTGAGCGTTCTGGCGCAATATGGCTGCCGTCGCATCATCCAGGTGGATGCTGCACATTGGTGGTGGTTGAGGAGATCCCCCCCCCCCTCTATGTGAAGCGCTTTGAGTTTCCAGAAAAAAAAGCACTATATAAATGTAATGAATTATAATTATTATTATTAATCATTAGAGAATTAGTAGACTACAGTAGACTGTTAGGTTATGGTTAGGTGTTAGTTCGGATTAGCCTAGAATAAGTTGACTTGTAGTTGCCAAGTTACTTGTAGTCAGTTGAATATCTGTTGGGGGACCAACAAAATAAAGTAATCAGATATTAAGCACAGTCTACTAATACTCTAATAACACTTAGTTGACATAGTTGCAAAGTTACTTATAGTTAGTAGAATGTCTAAAGTGGACTATCGAAATAGTGTTACCAGAAACTGACACAGGTTTGAAAGAACTTGAGGGTAAGTAAATGATGACAGAATTTTCATTTTTGGGTGAACTATCCCTTTAATACTATTAAATTCTTACTACCATGTTTTAATAAGTTAGGCTATAATTTTTATAGAGACATGCATGTCAGGTTTCAATTGTCAATAAGTGAAACTCACATATGAGACAAAACATGTGACAAACAGTTGTTGGTGTTCTCATATGCACAAATCAACCTACATTAAAGTTATAATTGTTTAATACAAAAATATTATGCTGTATTTTCATTCAAATATTGTATTGTAATAAAAAAAGATTTTCATCTAGCAGGAAAACAGCCTACTGGCTGTCCATTTAATAATCTTGGACTAATTTATTAATGCAATCTCACATCATTGGCATCAACTGTCTAACAGGAGCATTGGGTTGAAAACTAAAGCTGATAGAATGACTCTAGTTCAATTGTCATGACCCTCTTTGTTCATTTTTCTTTTGTTCTTAGCCAGTAGCGTTTGTGTGTGTGTCTCTCTCTCTCTCTGTGTGTGTGTGTACTGTAAGTAGCGATGCTTAATGATTTTAACCTTTAACTCATGACTCAGTAAGCAAAGTCTCATAACTCAGCCAGAGTTTATGTGCTGAATTTACGTCAGCTATACGTTTTTAACAGGAATCTGCGTACATGCTATTTTAGTCTAAATAATCTTTTACATGACGCAGAGAAAGTACTGTATATGCCTCAAGCAACTGAACTCGGTCTTTTTTATTAGACATTATTACTGATAATTGGTAAAGATGAATTAACATAATTTTTTAACATATTTGCCAGTTTTACTGAGACACATGGAAAAAAAATGCATATTTTAACATTTTTAGCATCAGATGTAGCCTTTAAGAGCATTACGTCAATAATTTTTTTTTAAAAAAGCACTATTAAATGTGTAAATAAATGTAATAAATCTACTAGTTCTACATTGAAAAAATGTGGCTAATGGGCAGCATTACACACCATAGCACAGATATAATGTCATAACATTTCATTTAAATATTTCCCATATCCCTAAGGATCTATGCTTGTGCAATTCACAACTTAAAAGTTATAAGTGTTACGAACTGCTCCGAGACTTGGAGATGAAGATCCAAATGCAGCTTCGTTTAAGATTAGTCGTACAGGCAGGGTCGAGAATTAGCAGACAGGACAATGGAGAATACACAGTGGGAATCCGGGAAACAGGCAGAGGTCAGGGCAGGCAGCAGTAATCAAAATCCAAGAACAATCCAACGTCAAAAACCAGAAAACAAACACGGAAAACGCTCAGAAATGCAGTGTAATCAGTCACAGGGATGAGGCATTATGGGAAACGGAGTTCTGGTGAAGTGATCAGTTCTGATGTGGAGTGCCCTCTGGTGATTCTCTGGGGCACTCCAACTGGTGATCGTGACATAGCCCCACCCCAAAGAGCGGCTTCCAGACGCTCAAAACAAACAAAACTGTCCAGGTGGGCGGTGGAGCGAAGGCGGATCTGGGGGTGGGATGGAGGGCCAGGTCCGTGGAGCAGAAGAGGAGCAGGTGACCAGAGCGTATCAGGCTGAGCAGGCGACCAGAGCGGAGCAGGCTGTGCAGGCGACCAGGGCGGAGCAGGCTGTGCAGGCGACCTGGGCGGAGCAGGCTGTGCAGGCGACCTGGGCGGAGCAGGCTGTGCAGGCGACCTGGGCGGAGCAGGCTGTGCAGGCGACCTGGGCGGAGCAGGCTGTGCAGGCGAAGGCCAGGGCGGAGCTGGACGAGGCGAAGACCAGGGCGGAGCTGTCGGACCCTCAGGCGTCCAAGGCGAATCAAACTGTGGGCATGACCAGGGCAGAGCAGGCTGTGGACGTGACCAGGGCGGAACTGTGGGACCCTCGGGCGTCCACAGCAGTGAAGGTCCCTCAGGCGGCCACGGTCGTGAAGACCCCTCAGGCAGCCACGGCGGTGAAGACCTTTCAGGAGACCACGGCGGTGACGACCCCTCGGGTGGCCACGGCTGTGAAGACCCCTCGGGCGGCCACGGTGGTGAAGACCCCTTGGGCGGCCTGGGCGGTGATGCCCTCTCAGGACCAGACACCGGCTCGGGACCAGACACCAGCTCAGGAACAGACACCGGCTCAGGAACAGACACTAGAACAGAAATGGTCACAAACACAGAAACAAACTCAGGAACAGACACTGGGTCGGCCATTTTGTCCGGAGACACTGGGTCGGCCATCTTGTCCGGAGACACTGGGTCGGCCATCTTGTCCGGAGACACTGGGTCGGCCATCTTGTCCGGAGACACTGGGTCGGCCATCTTGTCCGGAGACACTGGGTCGGCCATCTTGTCCGGAGACACTGGCTTGGAGGCGGCCATCTTGTCCGGAGACACTGGCTTGGAGGCGGCCATCTTGTCCGGAGACACTGGGTCGGCCATCTTGTCCGGAGACACTGGGTCGGCCATCTTGTCCGGAGACACTGGGTCGGCCATCTTGTCCGGAGACACTGGGTCGGCCATCTTGTCCGGAGACACTGGGTCGGCCATCTTGTCCGGAGACACTGGGTCGGCCATCTTGTCCGGAGACACTGGCTTGGAGGCGGCCATCTTGTCCGGAGACACTGGCTTGGAGGCGGCCATCTTGTCCGGAGACACTGGGTCGGCCATCTTGTCCGGAGACACTGGGTCGGCCATCTTGTCCGGAGACACTGGGTCGGCCATCTTGTCCGGAGACACTGGGTCGGCCATCTTGTCCGGAGACACTGGCTTGGAGGCGGCCATCTTGTCCGGAGACACTGGCTTGGAGGCGGCCATCTTGTCCGGAGACACTGGCTTGGAGGCGGCCATCTTGTCCGGAGACACTGGCTTGGAGGCGGCCATCTTGTCCGGAGACACTGGCTTGGAGGCGGCCATCTTGTCCGGAGACACTGGCTTGGAGGCGGCCATCTTGTCCGGAGACACTGGCTTGGAGGCGGCCATCTTGTCCGGAGACACTGGCTTGGAGGCGGCCATCTTGTCCGGAGACACTGGCTTGGAGGCGGCCATCTTGTCCGGAGACACTGGCTTGGAGGCGGCCATCTTGTCCGGAGACACTGGCTTGGAGGCGGCCATCTTGTCCGGAGACACTGGCTTGGAGGCGGCCATCTTGTCCGGAGACACTGGCTTGGAGGCGGCCATCTTGTCCGGAGACACTGGCTTGGAGGCGGCCATCTTGTCCGTAGACACTGGCTTGGAGGCGGCCATCTTGTCTGTAGACACTGGCTCGAAGGTGGTGACG